TCCAGTCCATTCTCCTATTCATTCAGCCAGGCCCACAGCTGGTTTGTCTTGATGCATTTGCCTCATATAAAACACAAAACAAAATATTGTATCACAAGTTACCCTACCCCAAAAGAGTCAGTGAGGATAAATATTATAGAATTAACAAATGTCTTTAGCAGAGAAACACATGCAGAGGATGAACCCCTTTCTGGTCACGGGCCTGAAAGTAAAATTACTTCTGGGCAACCACTTCATTTAATGAACGTGTAGCTGAATAAATAACCTCAAGGGACTTGTACTTTTCCTGAAGAAGTATCAGTTCACAACTCTCCTTCCCCGTGCTGTCCAAGTGCGGTTTTTACAGCTGCTAACAGATCCCAAATGGCCTGTAGCCAAATCACACTTGCTTTTCCTCAGTGCCATTCAAGTCCAGCAAGATGCCAGGTACAATTAGCCACTTCTGCATTCTTGGTTTTGGGAGGCTGATGGACAGCACGAGAAGGACAGCTGCGTTGTGAGTACCTGACTGTTGGGCTAAAAGGTGGGAAGGTGGCCTGAAGGGGAGGTGGATTAAGAAAGGGGTGAGAGGGGACAGGTCTGGGTACGGAGGGAGCTGGTCCAGGACAGGGGAAGTGTTCAGGGGCCCCATCTCTGCCAGGGAGACCAAGGATGGAGATACGGACTCTAAGGAGGAGCAGAGCCCCTTAGGGGAACACGTTATTGAGATATTAGCTGAGGACACATTTATCTCAAATGAACTTTGGTTAAATCCAAGACAGACAAATGCCCATGACAAATCAGCAATGTCCAGTGGAAATTAATGTGAACTGGGTGTCAGATTTACAGTAACGGCTACAAAAACCTGCCTTTACACAAATGTCAGAATGAGCAAACTCCTTCATGCGGTTCCTTCTGCAATACTTCCTTAGTAGTTTTTTTTCTACAGAACAGCTCTACTAAATCACAAATAATTATGAACTGAATGCTCTTACTATACTTTCTTGTCCTCTATGCTATAGGAAAAGCCTCCAGATAGCAATTGAAGGGATGTTCCTAATCCAGGCTAATGCAGCCTCTCCTTGTTAGTCCCTTTTGTGTGAAAATGCTATATTTGAGAGCTTCCATATGCGCTCCCCTATGGATAGGGCAACAGCACTGCTTTGAAGATGGTCTATTCATATAATTCAAATGACCTGTACTTTTATGTGCTGAGCCTGTGCCTTAGCTCCTTGTACTCTTCCCTTTCCCCACACAAAATAGTAAAAATATATTTGGGGAACAGACCTCTTAGGTGCCTCAGATGATTTTTTAGAAAATCTTTGTGTTCAGATATGTTGACTTTCTCCTACTGATGTTTCTCTGATCTGTTTTTATAGCTATCCAGTGAATGAGATTCTGCAGCATACCTTGTCAGTCAATGTCACCATCCTTGTAGATGTCACTCTGTAGCCTAATTTATCATTGCTAGAAATTATTCCTGGCTTCCTTTTATTCTATTCACAGAGAATAAGGAGTAAAACTCATTATGCTCCTTTGTAACAACTTTTTTGCATTTTTGAAGTCTAGTTTCTGAGACTAACTGAGAACTTAATCTCAGTTCTTTCAGACTTTTTTCATAGGTCTTGCTGACCACATTGCTCACTGTCTTGTTGTTTTTCTCCTGCCCTCTCACAAATTTTTCAAAAGCATTTGTAAAGTGATTAGATTAGCTAGAATTCAGTAGCCAGCCCAGAGCTGGCCACTGAATTATAGCTTTGGCTCTTCTACTAAAAAGTAGGATGGAATAATTGTCTCCCATGATATACAGATACTGTACATGGAAGATCATTCCAAAATGAATTTTGCTTTTTGCAACAGGTATCAGTGGTGAACCTGTCATCCATAATAATTCCCTGGTCCTTTTCTGCAGTACTGCTACTATTTCCCTATTTTCTACTTGTGAACTCATTTCTCATTCCTAAAGGTGTATTACAAGGGATTCTGTCTTTCTAAGCTTATTTTGTTAGTCTCAGATCACACATATAACTCATCTGTCCCTGGGTCACGGCAAGCTGCCCCTAGAGTGGGGTAAAATTGTCCTATCCTTCATAAGCCTTCTGCATGATACCCTGGGCATGATCCTATTGTAATAGATTCAGATTACGGTGAAGTCTGATATCCTTAGTGCTTGTAAACCATTTCTCTTGAGATAAATTTCCTTTTTTCTACCATCTGTCATTAATGGGAATAGTCCTAGAACCAAACTAATATAAGCCCACCTAAAATACTCTCTGACTTTGATAATGCAACATCAATAAGCACTTACCGAATGTGCTTTTTAAACCACTTGTCTACTCACTCTCTGATCCTTCCATTTAGGTCATATTCCTTAAATTTATTTACAAAAATACTGTAGAAGAGGGTAACAAGAACTCCTCTAAAGTTTTCTCATAACTGGTTCTTCTCTTTTATACAAGAGGTCAGCTAAACTTGTGTCAGGAGAAAATAAGATTAGTCTGAGATAGTTTGATCTTACCCAATCTTAGCCGGTATTCATCACCTTACATAACAGGTGGTTATCTTTTGGTGGCTTAAAAACTTATTTTAATATCCTTCTTGGTATTGGCTGATTTCTAGATCTTCCTCTTTAAGCTATTGACTGTATTTACTCTTTTCCATTCTTCTAAGACCTCTTCAGTTCTCCATAAATCTCAAAGCCATCAACCAGTGGTTTAAATGTGGCTTTAGTAACTTAAGTGCCTTTGTGTGACTTACCAGTCTGAATATGTCTCATTTACTGAAATATTCTTAACCTATTCTTTCTTATTCTAACTTGGACTCTTATCTCCTCTGAAGAAGAATAGATTTAATACTTCAATTTCACTTAACCAATATTTGAAGATTGAGGAAAAAAGGCATTTATTAATTTAACTTCCTTATTCCTCTGTTATTAGTTCTTCTTTCTGATAAAGTAATAGACTTATAATTCCTTTTGTCTTTCTTTTTCACTTGTGATGTGTTTATACAATTACTTTTTTTAATATTCCATTAGAGTTGTATGGGGCTTTGAAGTTTAGCCTTTCTGACTGCAATGCTCAATATTACATTGGGGAGGAGAAGGGCAGACCAGGCTGTTACTTTCTATGCACTGCAGACTATGGAGTAGACAGAGTGGATGATGGGTCCTAGGAACTGCAGGAGGAATCCGGGCTTATTCCGTAAGATTTCTTCCTCAGATTTCCAGTGCACTTCTCATAATTTATTGAGGAGAGGAGTGTAAAAAAATAGATCAAATCTGTATGGATATTGTTACTCACCTAAAATGACTATCCTCTCTGGCTATCTTTTATACGCATGGCTATAATTAGAAGTTTATCATTTGACTTCATCACCTCAAAGATTATCTAACGTCTACAGTATCTTGCCCTACCTTTAAGGACACTGCAAAATTATCTGCTACTGAAAATTTTGTCAAGGAGAATAAATGAACAATTTTGGTAGCTTGATATCAGCAATTTCAACTGTGACTGGAAACACTGATTTATCATACTGAGTTGCCTTGGTGAAATACCACAGCCAAGATTTGTTTTAAGATGTTTGTGTAATATATAGATGATAGCAATAATTCTGTACGGAGCCATGCTTTTAACAACCATAATCAATTGTTCTTTCTGACACAGGAAAGCCATAAAACAGTAGCTGAAGACTGATGAGTTATAAAACACCCTGACTCATTAGATACATGAACGTTGCAAAACTTTCAGAACAAATTACCTGAGTTACAGTGATAATTAATTATATTTACCTATCTCTTTTCATTCTGAAGGATTCCAAAGCATTCTTAGACGTCCTGTAATCAATGTAGAAAATGAGTCATAAAAATCAGCTTAATTCCCTCAGGAATAAATGAAGGAATCAGGTTGCTCAAGGGTAGACTTACATTATAGCTGACAATTAGCAATTCACAGGACCTATACACAAAAATTCACTGATCTCTGCTTAGCTGCTTACCTTCCGTTTACTCTAGTCAAGTTACCCAACATATCTGCCCTGACATCTCCTTTTATAAAATACCTAACAGTGAAAGACATGTAGAGGCCCTGCAAGGCTGTTAGCATGATCAGAGCTTATGGCTCTCTTGCTATCTAAGTGTAAAAAGTATGTCTTCATCAATATGGGTTAAGGATATATATCTTCAAGGCATCACTTATTGGATTTAATATTTCTCTATCACCCGATAAACATGAATTCATTATCTATATCTTTTATGAACTGAATAGCTGATTGTATGATCTCTTTCACAAGTCAAGAAACTAAGATGGGAGGCAAAGCGCGCTGGTTAAGCTACCACATGAGACGTATAAGGTGCCATCAGCATATTTAGAAGTTGTCTTTGGGTTCCTAGATAATCAGTGCATAATCAGAGCATAGGGTGTGATCCATGTCATCCCAAAGCAGATACCTACATTTGGTTAAATGTCTCACCCTATGCTGCACAGCCTCTGTGTACTTGTTTTCCATTAACTGTAACAGGAACACAAGGAAACTTGCTCAGATGTCAGTGATTGATAACGTCACAGGTACCCAGTTTAGTTAGAGAAGTTTTGGCACGTGAGGAAATACGAACTCTGCCCTAAAAGCCACAGGAGAACACAAATAACATACTATCAGATCCCCAGTAAGACCACTGAAACCAAACTCTTTTAGGTAGAGTCAAACTATCATCCATCAACCTTAAATAACATTGCCTTCTCCTGTGCCAGGGCAAGATGTCTTTTCTCTCTGAGGATTACCTGTGGTCACAGAAATGGTGGCTCTACTGTGACTATCACCTGTCTGCTTTGAGTATATGGTACATTTAACCCTCAGCTCATTCATGACTACCCAGGGGTGAGAGCATGGGACAAATCTGGCAACCTGATACCTAAGACTGACAGATGGTAGCTGTCTGCGTGAATGGTGGAAACACGTAACAAGGATGGCAAATTTAGGTTATTTTGAACAGATCACAGATTTCCGGGATGCAGCTGCTTCTCTCCAATGCCTTCACAGAGAGTTTTCGTAAACATCTAAGAGGTTAGGCATCTTGGTAGATACAACAATGAAATGACTCCAGTTATTGGTTGGAAATATTAATTGTTCTCCTGGTGCTTGGATAAGGAAGTGCATACCATAATCTCAGCTTCAGAGACTATGCAGCTGGGAGCCCAACAAATAGGCAGACTGACTCTTCTTGTTACAAAGCAGCAGGGGAAGAAGTGGGAGCACAGGCTTCGGAGAGGAACGGTGAGTACAACTTTTTTTTTCCTGTGGAACATTCTTCCTCTTTACAAAGGAAAAAGATTTTTATGTTTTTAAAATCTCTTTACTTCTTAGGTGCATTTCAGAGGTAGTCTGAGGGTCCATGTGAAATGTCTTCATGCTTTTAAGGTCTCCCTGGGAACATATGGTTAATTAAAAAACAAACTTAACAAACAATGGCACACGCAGAATACCAGTGGCTAGCACTTACTCCATCTATCAGACACATGCTGGAGCATAAGCATGAGACTATATTAGCAGTTATTGATGCCATCTGGTCTTTTTCCTATTCTGATTGTATAACAGTTTCTGCATTTTAACACAGCCACGTTGGAGGGAATTGATAGTGAGAAATAACAGCAGTCTGAGCACAGGAAATTTAAACAGTTAATGATGTGGGAAAATCAAGAGAGAAATGAGTCTGGAACTTCGGTATCCCTGTTCATGAAGAAAAGGTAACAGCAACAACAGCAGCAACAAAAAATAAATAAAAAAAAAAATCTGTTGATCTAAGTACTGAGGTTTTTCCACCTAGGAAAAGAAAATGCAATCTAGAGATCTAGAGATTGGAAGCAGTATAAAGCACCGTGACCCAGAAGTAAGGGAATTTTATCTAAGCTTTCATCTCTTCAACGCTCTCTACAGAAGTGGTGAAGATGCACAGACACTATTTGCTGAGGACTAACTAGTCAGAAGCTGTATACAACTGACACATCTGCAAAATGGGTGCAAGACAAACTTTATTTTTACTTTGCAGTGACAGAGCTCACGTGTAAGATGTAGCGTGTTGAATTTGTAAAAGCATGCACACTTTCTGTGTCCACTATACCTTCTTTCATATATGACTCTAAATATATTGTTAATACTAAATCTGGGAAGGAAATACAAGATACAGCTCTCTAGCTGGGGAATATTGTTTAAAGCTGAAAAAAAGGAAGATCTATGCTATTTCTATATGACAATATCTTTTTTTTTTTCATTTTTTTCATTTTTCATTTTTTTCATTTTTCATTTGAAACATAAACAATCCAACTAACAGATCAGTTACAGAAAACAACAGAGAAAGCATGGTGTCGTCCTTCAGTACAGTCTCTAGTCTGAGGCTGAGTGCAAGAACCTGTGATAAGAGAATCTGGGTTATCTGCATTTGCACTTAATATCAGCCTTTAAGCTATCTTAGGTTCTTATAGCTCTTAGAGCTGTTCCATCCTTCATAAGTAATGGAATATTAAGTGAATTATAGACTTAATCTGATTTTTCTATATCTTAAAACACTGTCAGACTCTGGGCAACTGGCTAGCTGCAGTTTTATAATCCCTGGTTTTGACTAGAATTTCCGTCTTGGGTCTGAAGACTCTCTTATCATCAAAGTTTCAGCAAAACTCCTGTAGTCAAATGAGAAGTTGCAAGGAATGGTAGTTTTCCAACAATAAAATGTTTTGCCTGAACATTTCCAAACTGGGTGTCGTTCCCTGCTTGGGTATGTAGCACTTCTGTGCGGATGTGGCTAAGACAGAGCTTAGGAACCCTGGAGCATCTCTGTCAGGTTTCCTAAGTGATCTTGGATGAGTCACTTAATCTTTTGAGCTTTGCTTCTGTCCTCTCTCGTTGAGGATTTTATGATTTTTTCTTGGTTGTAAGGAGAACAATTGAATCGTGTCTGGAGGGCGCTGGGTGATGGGTGGAATATTTACTGTAGTTAAAGAGTGTGGAAGAAAAACTTTCCCTCCTTTTGACAGCTCAATAAACTTTGTTTGCTTTGAAAGTTCTGACTCTTCCATTGCTCTTCATCAGCTTATCACAAGTTAGCTGTGTCATGTCCAAAGAATTTTTCTTTTCATTACTTTCTCATTCTTTCGACACATATTTCTCGCTAAAAGATAGAGCAGCAGAAGGAAATAAATAAATAAATAAACAAACACCTGCTGTTCCTATCTATGTTCTGCAGCTAGAGAAAATGAGTCATTAGTTCATTGGCAGTTTCCAGCCCACTTACAAAATCTGTGAACACTAACCTTACATTTGACATCCTATTGTCTTTTAAGAAAATATCCAGCCATAGACAGGCTACTAGTAAGGTAAGTAACACAGATTTCATTAAAGGGAACGACTTCCTCTAGTTTCTGCTGTGAGAAAAGGTGGAAGTATTTACAGATCATGTTATCACGTATTTTTATTTCACACGCTCCTGAAAGTGTTCCAGTGCGGACCTCTGCACAGTGAATTTAAGCCAACTGAGAGTCGGCTTGCTTTTCTCAGTTATTTTGTATGGAGTCCTTCACGGCGTTTCATGGCTATCCCTTCTCTCGTCCCTTATCTCAAGGAATTGGGGACCACACAGTCATAATCACTAATGCGAAAGAGGATTAGCAAGGATGAGAGCCTGTGAATGGTATGGATGATTCCTACACACTTACCACTTACTTGCTAGCCAAGCTGGAAAAGCCCTGAGTGCAACCGTGTACCCCTGAGTTTCCTCACTGCCCGTTGATTGCAGACCTGCGTAGGAGCTATTGACAGCTCAGTGTAACTCTATACTAATCTCTCTATGAGCAAAAGCATCCTGGGAGAAATATCCTAAAGCCAGCTACGTCTCCAGCAGCTATTGCATCGTTGTTTGTAGGTGAAGTGTTAGTTGTTTGTAGGTGAAGTGTTAGTATCTTTGGTCTTGCTCACCGTGAACCAGGCTGTATTGGATTTCTCCCTTTTAGTTTTGTTTGTTTGTTTATTTTATTTTATTTTATTTTGGTTTTTTTTTTCAAAAATGGGGCCAGGATTAGCTGGAATAAATGCTGACCTGCTCTGGAAGCAGATACAGGGTGCTTCAGCCTATGGCATACCTGGCCTGTTGCCAAAAGGCTGGACCGAAGCCCATGAAAGCCAGTGAAACCTTTCAACCCTTTGCTTCAAGCCCTGTGTAGAAAATGACCTAGAGAGAAGGGCAAAACTGGGAAGCTGCGTTTATTGAGATCACAAAATGGAGGAAAAGTGAGTACACTAATTTTCAGTTAATCGTTTCACGGTATGTCATTACCCTGTGAAAGCCAATATAGCAGTGTGTCGGCACCAAAGCAACAAACTGGCACCGTCTTTTCCAAATTTTAAGAAAGGTGCAGCATGCCCATTTTTAGAGGAGAGAAGCTGTAATTAGTGCTGAGTGATGGTTTCCACAGCTGGGTGGAAGAAGCAGACTCCAGTATTCGCTAATCACAGTAAATGCCTGCATCGTTCACAAAAACTACAGATTGGTTCACACTTAAGATTCTTTTCATATTACTCTGCTGAGAATTTGACTGTAACAGTAAAAATACTTTGCAGTTTTAAAATACTTCTCCCCAGTCTGCTTCAGAATCCTTTACAGATACAAATTAATTCAGCTTCACAGAGCTCCTGGGATAAGAACTTATTCCAGTGGTTAAACGGAGGGGAAAAAATCTGCTTGTTAAAAACAAAACAAAACAAAATGAAACAAAACAAAGCAGTTTGGGGACCCTGAAGACTCAAGGATATAGGACAATGTAGTACCTCATATACTAAAAATGGCAGCAACCATCTGTAACACAAAGCACTGAATGAGACGTTCCCTCCCCGACCACCCCTATGTCTGCTGGGGGACATAGAGCTGCTTCTCACACAGATGGAGTACTTGGTTGCATTAAAATCAAGTGGAAACATGACTGTAAAAACAATCCTTCCTCAGCAACTTCATTTGTTTCTCAGTTACCTCTACTTGTTTTCTATTATTATCAGCACTACAGAGCCCATTTAAGTACGGGACAATTAGGGGAAATTCTTTTATTGGGCCAAATGTTCTGATCCGTCTTATCTTCAGAATCACCGTTGGAGTATTCCCACCGAATGAGGTGAGTGAGGGAAAGGAAATAGCCGTTGAGGTGGGTTTTGTTGTTGTTGTTTTTGATTTTTTTGTCTAAGAACAGTCTGGTAAAAATTCATTGAGGACTTCAGGATCTGTCCTACAATGGTACAATTGTCAGCTAAGCTCCAAGCGCAATATACTACCAGGTAGGTAGCTGTTAGGGTCACAGATACTAGGTACATAAGTAAGTTCCTTAGAAACATTTTTATATTATGTGTACACGGACACTAGCACTCCTGAGAAACCACTGCTCCCCTTGTGCTTTTCTCTACACAGCACCGATACCTCTAAAAATATCATTTATGTAGAGGTATCCTTGGGTAATAATTCAGAAGAAAAGGAACATTGGCTTGCATGTCTCAAGATTAGGATTTCCATCTGAAATCAGTTAAGATTGAAAACTTAAGAATAAATAGAAATGATTCTGGTTGTGCAAATTGTTTCACCTACAGATTCTGCCCAATAACTTTATCATGTCCACCGTCCACTGTGCCTGCAGAAACAGTTTTTGCAGCTGCATGAAATTTAAGTTTAAATATATGATCAGTATATCAACAAATGCAGACTAGAGCACATAGTAAGGGGTTAAAAAAGTAATTGAACTTCAGCAAGGATATGACTTACTAACTGATTGCGCACATATTCTATTGCACTGGATTAGAACATTTTGTTTCAAATCACTACTGCTAGGGGCTGAGGCAACGCCATATCACGTTGTGCTGCAGTGGACTAGAAGCATGAAGGCAGACACAAAGGAATTTATATTACCTGATTTTAAGTGTTGATGATGACGGTAAAACAAAATTTTCTATATCACTGAATATTTTCCCTTCACATGATCCCATGTGGACACTTACTTTCATCCTTCTGTAGGTGGGTAGCCAGAAAATGTCTATTTTCACCTTTCCTGAGATAACAGAACTAGTACGTGGTAACTGGAAGATGCTGTGAGAAGATCATTCTCCTATGAAATGAGAATTGTAAGAATATGGTTTCTTCAGTAATTTATTGGACAAAGTTTTTAACCAAAATTATGTCACTTAGAAAATATTAAAATAATGTCCTTTGCTTTAGAGTACTATAATATAATGAAATTCAATGTACAGAA